TTATGGCTATAGTTCCTCAAAACGCTTCAAAGTTAAGATTATGAATCTTTACCTTCTTAGCAAATTCTAGCTGTCAATCACGTCGGTAGGCCAATTAGTCGTGTATTTAGTCACCTCTATGAGACGTAATTATCTGTAATTTGCCCTTGCCACAAGACAAAAGGTTGGCTGTCTTTTGTTATGCGCAGTAATTGTTCACTACAGCTCGGCCCAGCTTTCCTTTTTTTCTAATATATAAGGTCTTGAAAGAAAATGTTTTACAGACAGTAACAAATTGACAACAATTGAATGAAAGGATTATACGGCTCATAGCCTGGGTGCCAGACTGTTACCAGGGCTGCTATGTAGGCTACCTTCTCAATCCAGGGGACAGCATTTCCCTTCCGAAAGTTTTTTCACAGGGTCTAACCAAGGAGGTTAAATATAACCTCCTTGGTCTAACCAAACTCCATGGTCTCTTGGTATATCATATCTCCTTTGTCTAACCGAGTCTAATAACATGGCCTAGAATGTGTATTGAGGCTGGGAACTGTCTGGCATATAGTCTGAACGGGTCAATACTGGGTGAATTTGCAGAGATTAGCTTTATCGGAAATAGTTGGGGCTATTAAACCTTTTCCAAGATGTTCCAAACAATTTCTAATAACGTACTGTTACTGTCCACACCCTAATGTTTTAGATACTAAACTGGCACAGCCGAACACTGTAGCCGACCTTTCTCCCGACTCTTATTAACCAAGGAGGTTATATCACCATCATGTGAGCTCGGGAGGCCATGTTTATCTGTTAGTGTTACAGGGAATCACTGTGGCCCACTCTCCTTGTCAGTTATCCCCATTTTTTTTATGGGTTCTAATATTTGTGGCCCTTCCTAAAGGGGCCCTTTGTAGGTCATGCTGGAGGTAACACATATATCTTCAGGTTGTTTGGGGGCCAGATTCAGATCAGAATAAATGTGTTGTAACTTACAGCAAGAGCTTCAAATAGAACTTGTTGATCATTGCTTACAGTTGTTTTGTCTGTGTTACTAGTATTTATGCAAGCCTGACATCCGTTCTGCTCTTGATCAGCCAATTGAAAACAAAAGAGAGGGGTAGCAATTAACTCCACAGGATGGAATTAGCGCGCAAATCAAATGCAAAACGGCAGGCGGGGCAGAGGCACTGGGTTATCACTCAAACTGTTGCATATGTACAAGCTTCATCAGACTGCATTTGGCTCATTACAATATTCAAGTAGGTCATTATAATATTAAATGAGATCTTTGCTGTGGTCAACCGTGGGACGCCTTACACCAACAGAGAAAGCATTTTGTTTGCCGATTGAGGAATTTTAAACTAAATAAATGGACTAAATAGGGATAGTAGGGCCTCGGAGAGGTTATTGTACCAAAAATACCGTTTTATTATATAATATAATATTTTGTGGTATGCAATTATTCATACGAAATCCGCCATATATATACATGTATAACCAGCATGTCGCGTCACAAAGTTGTTAAAGGTCATTTTTTTTGCGTTTCAGAGTCGGACCCATCCAATCCAATCAGTATAGCCATGGTGTTCAAATGCGACCAGTGTAGGAAAGAGTTCAAACATAGGCAGTCTTTTAACCGACACAAGAAAGCACATACCGCGTCACCTTCCCACCGCTGCGAGACTTGTGACCAAAACTTCCCCCGTCTCCCCGACTTGAAACGACACCAACAGCAGAAGCATGCATCTGCCGCACCCCAGCATGAATGCGATTTCTGCGGGAGAACGTTTCCTAGGGCGGACAAGTTGCGAGAACACAAGCGAATACACGGGAAACATCCGAAGAATCTGATATCCAACACGTTTAACACGTTTGGAGAACTGCAGCAGCACGATAACGAGATGTGCCCCGAAAACGCACCGTCCACCTCCCGAGGACACAAAAGAAGACTTTCGGCTAACGCCGACGAGGTCTCATCAAAACGACCCAGAAACGTGCAGCCCTTGCCACCAAACGAATTGTTTCCCGTGCAGGAAGACCCCCTTGACAAACCAGAGGACTTGGGTTTAGATCAAGCAGTGGAACAGATATACAAGCAGAAATGGTCAAAAATCCGTACACACTTCGAAAGAAAAGCGGTCCATGCCAGATATAATTTTCGATTGAACTCCATCAACGTGGACGACATGACAGACAAAGTGTGGGCGATCTTTCGAGACCAAAAGACGGCATTCAAAATCAACCTGTCGTACGGATTTGTCCTCCGTAACAACGAGGGTGAACTGCGTTATTACTACCCCTGCGAGAACAATCACACCTTCCTGGAGAAACCAGTGATAGTCGACGACGAGGAAAACCTGCAAAAATTCTTGGACCAAATAGCCGACAAGGACGTCCTCGAGGATTGCCGACAGCATCGTCCAGACTCCAAATGGATCGTGCACGACATTCCACATGTAGAGTTTTATGTCAGCAAACTGGGAAACCATCCCATCGGTGCGCCCATGAACCTCCCCGCGTACCTCGTCAATAACAAAGCCATCGTTACGCTTCAAAGCGGGACGAACGGACCCTTTGACGACAACCTGTGCTTCTTCCGCTGTCTTGCAGCACACTACGGTAAGAATCCGAAGCAACTAGAGAGGCCAACCAAGATTCTCTTGAAACAGTACATGGAAGCCCGGGACATGGCCGAGAAAGATTTCTGCGGGGTATCACTAGAAGACTTGGCCGACATAGAGAAACTCTTTCAAGTCAACGTCTACGTCTACTCGCTTCGACCCAATGACGAAGAAGACGAGAAAAACGACACACCTTTTGCAGAACTGGTCAGGCGACCTCTCACCCGCTACAAGAACACAATGTACCTGAACCTATACGAGGACCACTTCAGCTACATTAGGGACTTTAAGAAGTACGCCAAATCGTACGGCTGCCCAACGTGCGGGAGGAAATTCAAGCGCGCCTACAACTTGCGGTATCACAAGACAAGCTGCACCGGGGCCGTAAAGTTCGACTATCCCCGCCGGGCGTACAACGGCAGGCAAACCATTTTTGAACAACTGGACGACGTCGGTATCCACGTGAATCGAGAAGACCGTTTCTATCCTTACCGGGCGACGTACGACATCGAGTGTCTCCTGAAGCCTCTGTCCGATCAAAACACGGACAAGATGACGTGGGAGGCCGTGCACGAACTGTTGAGCGTAAGTGTCTGCTCCAACGTACCAGGTTTCACGACGCCTAAATGCTTCGTCTCCGAGGGTGACCCGGCCGTTGTTGCAAACAAGATGTTGGAGTATCTACAGAAGATGAGTGAGGCGGCCTATGAGGAGTTGAAAGGGCATTTTGCCGACGTCTTTGAACAGATAAAGGCACTGTACCCGGATTATGATGGATCCTCCGTAACGTCAGAAGAACACGACGATAATTCCACGACGAGAGAAGAGGGAAATGATCAAGACGGGGAGAGTGACGGGAAAAAGCAAGAGAAAAGAACTTTGATCAGGAAGTTGATCGGTCGGCTCCACCATCACCTACGCCAGTTACCCGTCATCGGTTTCAACTCTGGGAAGTACGATGTGAACGCCATGAAGAAGGTATTTCTACCCCACCTGTACACACAACAAGAGAACCTACGACCCATCAAGAAGGACAACAGCTTCATGTCCATCGAGACGGATCATCTGAAGTTCCTGGATCTGGTCAACTATGTGGCGCCCGGGTTCTCCTACCCCCACCTGCTCAAGGCGTACGAGTGCCATGAGACTAAAGGCTTCTTTCCGTAAGTTCAGTATATGTTTTGAACAGAATCACGATCATTTTTTGCATGTTATCACGTGTTATTTATGTTGTTTAATTGTGTGCATCTTTTCTTTATTTGTGACTACTTGTTGTTTCCACTTTAAATGCAGGTACGAATGGATGGACGACCTGAGAAAATTGGACCACGCACAACTTCCACCTGCCGAAGCCTTCTACAGCAGGTTGCGCGGGACACACATTTCCCCAGACGACTACGCCTACTGTCAGAAGGTCTGGGAAGAATGCGACATGAAGACCATGAAGGACTTTCTGATATGGTAAAAAATATACGTGGTCTACTAGTATTTTGGGTTTGCTCCCTTACTTTAAAGATCAATGATAAGCCTACACCGAATGATAACCCTCGTTTATTCTCTTCTTGCAGGTACAACAACAAGGACGTCGTCCCCATGCTGGAGGCGATTCAGAAGATGGTCGACTTCTACAAAGACCTGGGGATCGACATGCTGAAGGACGGCATCAGCGTCCCTGGCCTGACACTGAAGTATCTCTTCATGAACCTAAAATCTAATGAATATTTCACACTAGTAGGTAACGAAGAAGTGTACAAATTGTTCAAACAAAACATTGTAGGGGGGCCGAGTATCATTTTTCATAGACATCACCAGAAGGGTAAGACGTATATTCGACAGAAAGAGATGACAGATAGTGGTAAACAGCCAAAGCTCTGTCAGAAGGTGATTGGCTTCGATGCCAACGCCTTGTATCTATGGGCGCTGATGCAAGATATGCCTACTGGGTATTACATTCGCCGGCAGGCAGATAAAGAGTTTAGGGAAGCTTATTCCGCCCCTCGCCGTGGCCGCTTGGCTACCGAATGGTTAGACTGGGTAGCGCACAGTCGTGACATTGTCATCCGGAACAAATTTAACAGTATCGAAAAACGTATCGGTCGTCGCCAAGTTCCTGTAGATGGCTTCTGTTCCGCCACCGGAGAAATTTTTCAATTTCATGGGTGCTTCTGGCACGGCCACGACTGCTGTCTGACCGAGGGTCTTGATACCAATCCAAGACGACAGAAGCCTATGGCCGAATCACGGGAAGAAGCAAAAGAAATGACCGAGTATTTGCGAGGGGAGGGGTACAATGTGATTGAAATGTGGGAGTGTCAGTGGAAAGAACTTAAGCGCACTAAGGAGGTTTGTGCCTTTTTGGATGGGCGCAAAACTCCCACCGAAAACAGCTACAAAATGTCAGAAAAGAAAATCCTCCTGGACGTCCGCAAAGATGCATTCTTCGGCGTAGTCGAGTGTGACATCGAAGTCCCTGAACATCTCAGGGCACATTTTGCAGAAATGCCCCCGATATTTAAGAACTGCGATATTTCCATCGACGACATCGGGCCCTTCATGAAACAGCACGCCGAAACGCATGGCATAATGTCGAAACCCAGGCGATCGCTCATCGGTAGCATGTTCGGTCAGAAGATTCTACTTGCGACACCTTTACTCAAATGGTATATGGATCACGGTTTAAAAGTCACCCGTGTCTATCAAGTACTAGAATACATCCCCAAAAAGTGTTTTGAACCATTTGGCCAAAAAGTCAGTGACGCTCGTCGTGCCGGCGACAAAGACGACAAGAAGAAAATTATCGCCGACACCATGAAGCTAATCGGTAATTCTGCTTATGGTAAGACGGTCACTAACAAAGAGAAACAGTCTGACGTATGCTACTGCAACAGTGCCGTCGCCGCCACTCAAAAGATCAATTCTCCCTGTTTCAAAAAGGTTTCCGAGGTGGTGGATGGTTTCTATGAAATCGAAACGGGCAAGCGCACGATCAAATTTGACTTGCCACTTCAAATTGGTTTCTTCGTCTACCAGTATGCGAAACTGCGTATGTTGCAGTTTTATTTCGACTTTATGCTTGAGTTTGTAGACGTGTCTGATTTCCAATATTGTGAGATGGACACGGACTCGGCTTACATCGCTATCTCTGCGGACAGTCTGGAGGATGTCATCAAACCCCACATGTGGGAGAGGTACGAAAACGAGAAACACCTCTGGTTCCCTCGCACTGACGACCCCGAACACGCGGCTTACGACAAGCGCACTCCCGGTCTGTTCAAGGAAGAATGGTCGGGGGATGCGATTGTCGGGCTGTGCTCAAAAACTTATTATTGCTTTGGTGGGGACGACAAAACGAAAGACAAATTCAGTTGTAAGGGAGTAAGTAAAAGAGACAATGACATCACTCTCCAAAAGTACCTGCAAGTTTTGGAGACTCAGAAAAGTGGTCAGGGCGTGAACCGGGGTTTCCGTGTTAGGGACAATCAAATGTTGACTTATACACAGACACGGGACGCGTTTTCCTACTTCTATCCAAAACGTCAAGTTCAGGATGACGGTGTCACAACCCTACCCTTAGATATCTAGTGTATTCATGTGTATATTCAATACGTATATATCTATCCTTAGATAGTCAAGTCAAGTCAATCTTTATTGCACAACAATTGTAACGGGTACAGTGTATGGCAAACTCTTCAGTACTACATATCTAGCTAACATCTACTTTCACGTCTACAGTGACTACAAGTTCTATGTATCGAAAATAACATTATACTATTTCAAAAAGGTAATATAGTACATGTATGTATATGGAGCATGGCTTACATGATAATGTACATGTCTTGAGTTCTATATACTAGTATGACATAATATGATTTCTTTTATCTAAAGCGTTGGATATATACTGGCCTATATACAGGGAAGTTTCGTCGGAACATGACATGAGTAGAGTAAAAGTATCTGAGATTGTTTTAGGTAATGTTATATGTGCCTTGTTTGTGATCGCATTCATAAGTGTTTCTCTTTCTTCGATGTAGGGTGTAGGACGGACATGATAATAGAAAGTGTATTTCATCTTCTACAGTGGTTTTATAAGTAGGACATCGTCTGTGAGTGGCTGGTACATTGTTATAGCGATCTTTCTCTATTTCTAAACAGTGTGCGCTGATTCGCATTTTGGTTATGTTGGTAACGAAAGATTTGTTTTGGATGGACGAGAGGTACTTCTTTCGGTGTAAATAAACTCAACATGATGTCAGATGATGTTTGTCGAAGTCGTTTCTTTTTCTTCGCAGTAGCGTGAAGCAGTTCAACAGTTTAAGTTTAGGTATATAGTAAGTGACGATAAAAAAAGATCCACACTTTCTTAAGAATCAAAGAAATTGATATCGTGAGTCATCATGGTGCAAACACGGTGGTCAAAATTGAGCCCGGATCTCCCCACCTGCAGTAGAATCTTAACCATGTTCGATCTGACGTAATTCGAATAGAACGGTGTTCGAAATAGGGGTCACCCGCGGTCATTTACAGTAAACGTGTGTCTTCCGGCTCCTTTTTACATGTGTATCTCCTAACCATTTCCTGGACAAATACATGTCTGCCATCACTTTGTAGTGGACTGGAACATGAAATGAAGCTACAGCCGTTATCGTGGGTGACATTGAAGATCGCAATACTTGTATTCGCCAGCCTAAATAAACACTCTTCATGTTCATGCCATATGGCATAAAAGAAAATGCAGAAATGTAAAAGAAAATTTTAAACAATCAGAAATTGAAAAGATACGATTTTTGATCTTATTCCTAGTCGTCGAAAATATAGAAAATCGGGGATTTTGGGTGATATACGTAGCCAATCTTAAATTGTGTTTGCCTAAAAACTTGACTAGGACTGTCTCGGACTGGCGCTCCAACTGCCAAAAAAATCGTCTTTCGGAGTGAGATTTTTAAAAATTAGTAATTTAACGTAAACAACTAACATTAAACTTATGTAAAGACGATAATTTCATTTTATTCTCTTGATCACATGATCACTTTTCGACAATTCTTTTTCGTCAAATCTTACCTTTAATTCTTTTCCGTCATAATTTTTCACGCGATTAACGGGATGGCAAGCGGTATTCTGGTACATTCGGTGGTTCAGGTGGTCGTGTACTTCCACTTACTCCTTTCCTTAACTGATTTAAACCACGTCCCTTACGTTAGATTTACACGACTATTTTCTATCATTTATTTTGTGACTGCTTGTGTCAATACAACTCTACAAGGGCAGTTCTGGGATTCTTCTCCAAGGAGGAAACTGACTGGTGGACTGAATGCGTGCCATCAAGACTCTCGGTCTGCAGCAAGGGCTGACCAGCTGACGGTGCTCGATACTGGTGATCTCCGGACACAACTGTAGAGTGAACCGAAAGCACTGTTTACCTTTGCCAGTATGTTACCGCTTACAGCTTTACTAGTAGTAGAAGTCAAAGTCTTCTCTTGGATCATCCTCGTTTTCCGCCAGATCGTTGCGGTTCGTACCTTCTATTTCTGCCCTGCAGACAGGACATGTTTGAGAAATACGACACCACTCCACGAAGCAGGTTCTGTGACAACAGTGAGAATTGGACGCTGTTGCATTTGGGCAACCTCTCCAAACTTCGACCGATGTGATTAGCTCAAGACAAATCACACATTTTTCCAATGCGATTGCATCATTATTCCCATTCATAGAGTTGGTAGACATCTGGCTGCCTATTTATGATTTCTATACGTCTTTTCTATATATTCTGCCTTGCCCTGTAATGTTAGAAAATTTCTCAATTGTTCGGCAAAGTTCGGGGCTTGTAAATGTTTTATAATCTTGTAATGTTAGACGGATTTTTCCTTTCCCTGTAATATTAAAAAGTTCATCTTTCTGATTTATCACACCATTTCTTTTCGGATTTTTCACGATTGCAGATATTGATGTAAATAGCTTACATTTCCTTACATCTACCAGAAATACCGGTCAATTGATCTAAATATATGTCGTTACGTATTTCTAACATCCGATCTACAAAGCAAAAATTACTTAAATGCTCCGTCTGATTATTCTGAAATAATGTTTCACCCTGGGTGTTTTGTGTATTTTGAATTTCTTCATTCTCCTGTGTTCTGGTATGCAGACTCAACGAGGTCCAACAAATTTAAGGAACAATTCCTCGCATTTGATGACAAGTGCTTCAAAGTCTTGGTTGTTCTAGACACCCAGTATAGCAGCGATCCTTGCATGCCCACGATGGTACCACAAGCTCTATTCTGCTATAGTAATGCTGTTGAATTCTAGAATAAACGACCTGTTGATTGTGATATCGTTTTAGTGGCCTTAATTCTTGTTCCAAAAGGTTTACGATCTAAAAATTCAAAAATGTAGGAATCTTGTTTTTTTTTGCCCGCCTTGTTTTTCTTTTCGTCCCACCGTACTAGATGTGGGGTATGCGGAAAATGTCAACCATAAACTTAAAAAAAAGGAACATTGACAAGGAGGGCACGGACGAAAAACATTGCCCAATATTATCTAAACTAGGTCTTCTGCTATTGACTTAACATTATGCTTGGCTTTTACTGAAGAAATACTAACTAAAATAACTACCAAATGACAAAAACAACTAAATAATAAGAACAAAATTAACAATTGCAAATATTCCGTAACAGATTTTATTAAATATCTCGAGGTTCAGGCACAGCATAATCGTATTTGTATTTGGGCTTAACTAAGTACCAATAAAACAAAGTACCAATTACAGGATTTTATAGATATATTAAAGACATCATCCTTATAAAACTTGGAATCCCAGTCCATTACATTTTTCTTCAAATCATAACATATTTGCTTTTGTAGCCGTTAGCGCTTACAGCTTTACTAGTAGTAGAAGTCAAAGTGTTCTCTTGTATCATCCTCGTTTTCCGTCAGATCGTTGCGGTTCGTACCTTCTATTTCTGCCCTGCAGACAGGACATGTTTGAGAAATACGACACCACTCCACGAAGCAGGTTCTGTGACAACAGTGAGAATTGGACGCTGTTGCATTTGGGCAACCTCTCCAAACTTCGACCGATGTGATTAGCTCAAGACAAATCACACAGTTTTCCAATGCGATTGCATCATTATTTCCATTCATAGAGTTGGTAGACATCTGGCTGCCTATTTATGATTTCTATACGTCTTTTCTATATATTCTGCCTTGTCCTGTAATGTTAGAAAGTTTCTCAATTGTTCGGCAAAGTTCGGGGCTTGTAAATGTTTTATAATCTTGTAATGTTAGACGGATTCTGCCTTTCCCTGTAATATTAAAAAGTTTCATTTCTTTTCGGATTTTTCACGATTGCAGATATTGATGTAAATAGCTTACATTTCCTTACATCTACCAGAAATACCGGTCAATTGATCTAAATATGTCGTTACGTTTTTCTAACATCCGATCTACAAAGCAAAAATTAATTAAATGCTCCGTCTGATTATTCTGAAATAATGTTTCACCCTGGGTGTTTTGTATATTTTGAATTTCTTCATTCTCCTGTGTTCTGGTATGCGGACTCTACGAAGTCCAACAAATTTGAGGAACAATTCCTCGCATTTGATGACAAGTTTCCAATATGGCGGCGTGAAGGAAAGGTGCAGAAAAAGGAGCTCGTGTACAAACTGTCTATGTGCACGCTTTTTTGGACAAATTTTGACTCTAAGATTTGCTGTAACCAAATGTAGGACTTTATTTGATCACTGGGAACCGTAAATATGTCTTCGTCGACGATGAAAACGCGAAGTAGAGCAGAAACTACGAGGAACGCAAGCGACGAGAAGAGAGACTCCTCGCCCCCCCTCCCACTCGAAGAAACACAGGACGGTACCGGTGCACGTGAGTTCGAAAGTTTCGTACGAGACGCTTTAAAAGACCTTCTAAAAGGTCAGTGTGACCTGAAAACAAAAGTAGAATCTTTCGAAGCCTCTGTTAACAACTCCCTAGAACATATTTTCGAACGAGTTGAAAAGCTTGAAACGAAAAATGAAATGCTCGAGACGAAAACAAAACAGCAAGAGAGTGTCGTCGAACAGTTGGTGGAAAAATGCAACACGCTAGAACGGTTTTCGCGACGCAACAACTTCAGGATTGTGGGTGTACCGGTCAGCAGAGGTGAGAACTGTATTTATGTTGTCTCGGAAATCCTTAAGAACAATTTCAACTTGGAGTCTGCTACTATTGAGAGAGCGCACAGGGACGGCAAAGGATTTCGCGGTAAGCCCCCCCCACATCCTGACCAAAATGCTGTCGTACCGAGACAAGGTGGCTGTTATGATCAAAGCCAAGAATGCACTGCGTGAAAAGGATACTATGTAGTCGATGACCTGACGAAAGATGATCTGAGAGAAAAAAAAAAGTGGAAAACTGAAGTGGCCGCAGCGTACAGCCGAGGGGAAAAATGCCGATTCTTTGCCGGAAAATGGAGAGGTGGCGACGGCGTCCCTATCAAGTTTTCAGATAAGACCTAAGCTTCTGGGTTGACAGAGTGTCACTACATCTTCATTTCACTTTTCACTGGGCTGACAAAGTGTCTTTGCATCTTTATTTTGTTTGAATATGGCAAAGTTGGTGTTGAAATGTTTGGGAAGTATGCCTGAAATGCCAACTAACTCACAAATCTCAGCAAGTTTGGCTCATTTGAATATGAAAGAAGACCT